GCAGTGTTGTAAGTTTCTTGACGTAAAAAAATAAAAAAGGTTCCTGGATGTTTGTAGGCTTTTACTCCTGTGGAAACTCTGGCCAAAGAGACAGATTTCGAACATCGTCTTCCAAAAGAACAATGGTGGTTGAAGCTCCGACCTCTACTTAGAATATTAGCAAAACATTCCTCAACTTATCATGCTGAAGCTGAGGACAACAGTGATATCGATGATAAGGAATGAAAACAGTTCTGAACGCTACTGCTTCTGCGAAGTGATGCCATATAACAAGCTTTTATTGCTTTTCTATGTACAATTTAGTATTTAAAAGAGAGAATAAATTAAATTATTGAAAGTGGATTGTTTTTAGATTTCTCAGAATAACAAAAGTACAACAAATTGGTCTATTCATTTTCTTGAACAAAGTGTATGTTACATGTTATTAAAAACAAAATATGGAGGTAAACGTTTCAATTCATCATGCTCACGAGATACCTAAGTTAGACATTTTCTCTTATTCTCTTTTCATACCCCATTTGTAGTGAGTAAATTGACTAGAACTTGAACGAAATACGTGACTGGAGGATTCCTATATGGCTTAATAGATGTTCAAAGATCTCAGCAAAGCATAAATCCCATTTGTCACGTATTTTATTGCCAACTTTCTAGTTAAAGGACTGAGTATAGAATAGTTTCCCGCCACTATCCCCAATCAATTTTTCAAATCTTCCGATTAGCACGCATTGCTCAATGGAAAAGGCTTCCGCTGCTGCTCACATTCCCTGAAACTTTTTTCATCTCTCATATACAACTGCTCTATCTTTTGACACATGACATTCGTTCTTTGAGAAATAAAATTCTCAAACCAAATTCTTGACAGCTGTCTGAACATTTAGTGAATATTGAAGATTTATTGATATTCCATAACATGATGATCATCCGATTGTTGTTTCCTTTGTAAGTGTACCATGCAGAGAACGAACAAATCTATTTATATGAACTGAAAGAAATTTTTACAATAGAATATTTTTTTTCGCGTAATGCAATACATTTTAGTTGATTTCAAAGAAAGTTTTCACCTATGTGTACTTTTCTTATTAGTTGCCACGCTAATGTAAATGCTATTGGTTGACGTTATGTTGAAGAAAACATGAAAGACATTCGAGAAACATAAAGTTCATTCATTGATTTCCAAGAGAACTGAGTATACACAATTTATCATTCAAAACAAAGAAAAGAATGGAAATATTATGTTGAGCAGTATCTCTCGCTTAAAATTGCCGAAATGTTGTAATAATTCTTCAGCTGTGTCAAAGGGTTATTGAGTTGAAACTGGTTTTTGTTGGGTTTTAATGATTTTTCATTTCTTCTCTAAATAGAAACATTATCAATCGTCTAGATGTTGCTTGCCAATGTATGTAATCGTTGTTTCTTCTTCTTCTTCAGATTTATTATAATCTATGTGATATTCATATTCTTATGCCTCAAGCTATTCATAACATTTGAGTTGAGCAAACATACTAGTCTCCAGAAGAAAAATATAATTTGATAGTTCTTATGGATAACTTGATACTGCTTCAAGCACTAGCTGAACATGAATCCCATTTGTCACGTATTTTATTGCCAACTTGCTAGTTGGAAGTCTAAATATAGAATAGTTCTCCGTCGCTATTCTCAATCAATTTTTCAAATCTTCCCAATGGCACGTATTACTCGATGGAAAAGGCTTCCGCAGCTGCTCACTCTCGTTGAAACTTTTTTCATCTCTTAGATACAACTGCTCTCTCTCACTTGAGACAAACGACTATTGTTCTTCGAGAAGCAATTTTTCTATTGAGTTCCTAAGCAACTGTTCCTATATTCAAGTTTTTATTGGAATTGCAATGCTGTTTTCTATTTTTCTAAATGTTATCACTTAGCCGTTCTATGATTTCAAACGGAAACTCGAATGCACATTCACTTACTTAGTCCCGAAAAGGAAATATCTCTCCTTTTGTTTTTGTGATTGTATCGTAAATTAGAAAACACTGTTGTTTAATCACTCTGAACTGACGTCACTTTCTCTCTCTCTCCCTTCTGTTGGCAAACGAAATATTTTCCTGTTATTCTCCATTCACTCAGAGATCAATTTCTCATGAATGACGTCTGATTTCTTGATTTCTCATTGAATTTCATCTTAATTCATATCTCTTTCTTTGATAAAACTGCTAAACGTCTGTACCTTCGTTATTCAATACGATTTGCAGATGGAGGAACCCAATGAAGAACCAGATGATATTGGGCCTTTGCCCAGTTTTATCCCAAAATGTCGAAAAGATTCCATCATCCCTATCATTGGTAAAGAGGGAACTGATATAGTATTCAATCAATATAAAGGAAGAGGAGTTGCTGTGTTTACTTCCGGTGGAGACTCACAAGGTTTA